GAAAGGAAGCAAGCAAGAAAAGTAGAAGGACAAAAAATGCAAAAGGATTTTTTAAATATTATTTTTAAGGACTTCTTGACATGAGGGATAGATTTGCTGTTAATAATCAGCCAGATACCTCCTCCATCACTGGTGGTAAAATTGATCTAAATACTTAAAAAAGCCCTATTCTGCAGTTTTCATTTTCCTATATTTGCTGACTGCTAACTAATTTATGCAAATCACTGAGGACAATAGATATGAGAAACTGAGTATTTTTTTGGAGTGGATTCCAGTAAGAAATGGACTTCATAGTGTGATTGGTGCTATTAATAGTCAGAAATAAAGTATTTGTATTTTGAGCTATAAGTGAAAAATATCAGCAGTTTCCAATAACACAAATACAAATCATACAAAACCTAATCCTTTGATGAATGCCATATTACCTCAGATTTTTAAAATTCAGAGGTTTGTAAAATCCATCCCCTCTTCCCAGACACCTTCAGCTTTATGCTATACCAACGTAGTTCATCATATAATGGCAGAAGCCATTTAGGTATTCACCTATAGTCATGATTTTGGCATTTTTGAGCATATTGACTAAGAGTTTGGAGCTCAACAGCCCCACAGGTGACCTTTGTGTCCTTCTCAAGGATTACCTCACAGCCAATGATTGAGTTTTCCAGGGTGGATCTGTGACTATTGCAGTGCTGACATCTACAGAAATCAGATTTAGTATAACAATGGAAAGGTGGCCAATATTAATCCTTAAAAGGTTTGTTCAAGGAAGAAATTTTAGTAGCTGAAAAAAGCTTTTTTTTCTTCATATACAATCAGCTACACAGCTCAGAGACCGGTGAAAAAAGAAAATATTGAGTTTTTTGTCCAAAATTGGATATGATCTAATCTAGGTAGTATGCCACATTCTTTCAAGAGAGAAGCAGACCTTTCAATTTTGAATCAGCGTGGGGGCCTAATTGAACAGACTAATCTTTCCCCACAATCTTTCCCCAACTCAAATTTGTAAGATAAATGGATTTGTAAATAGATGTTCATTCCACCAAGAAAAAGTACCTTCCAAGATTGCTATTAAAGAAGTGACATCTATTATTACAGTCTAATTGCTGCACATTCACAATGCCATAAAAGTGGGAAAGGATTTGCTGTTACTTTTTACTGGCAAATTTGCTTTGATTTAAAATATGTATAAATATAGGTGATGAAAGAGTTATAGTGAAATTCAACAACTGTAGCATTCCATGTAAACTTTGGGATAAGCATAAACATGCAACTCCGTTACTGACAGGTAATCAAAATACTGGCTACTTTTCACAATTGTTGTAAAAAAGGATTTTTTAACAAAAGTTTGGGGTTTTTTTAAAAATATAATATGTAGTGCTTCTTTAAAGATGGCACAAAAAACCAAGGAGAAGCCAGAATAATGAAATGTATTAACAAAAATCATATTTAATCTCTTTTAAATCCTCCTGCCTCCTAAGAAATGGAGGATAGCCCTGCATTTTATTATAGGTTTCATCAGTAGATTCAGATCCAGAGCTGTGACTTAGACCTGAAAATCTTAGGCTGAAAATGGAAGACGCACTTCACTAATAAACATGTAGCAATTATCACGAAATTAAGTTCATTCCACATTTTAGGTAATCACCATGGAAACCTATATTCATTGGCGCCTAATTGGAAATGTTCCTGACCTGGAAAACACTGTAAGCTTAAGACTGCATAATTTCTTATTTAAGTAATTGTACTATTCTGTGTTTGTGACAGTACACCCTGAAAATTTTGGCAATAATCCCAGGGAAAAATATTTTTCTGAGAAGCCTGCTTCTTGCAAGTATTTTTTCACAATCTAGTGGGACTTCTGCCCTAGAAGGTGACTTCATCAAGCTGCTTCTCCTGTTTGTGTCATTAATACCTGAATACTCAGTCATAGTTGTTACAGAAGGCTGCTGTCCTAGTAGCTCCAAACTGAAAAGTCACAAAAATAATAATGAAGGTTATGTCTTTCTGTCTGAAAGAAAACTTGGTGCCAGGACAGCATTAGGAAAACTCCTGAAAAAAAAAAAAATATTCTTCAGGGATTATTTAGCTTGCCATAACATAGTAGAGAAGGAGGAGTAACTACAGACTGGAAAGAAACATCCTATGTAAAGGAAATTTTATCTAAGAGTCATGCCACTAGACTGAACTCCAGAGTACTGCTACATTACAGAGGTACTGGTGTTTATAAACCAGTTCTGGTTCATCTGCAACCACACTGTTTGATTACCATGCAAATTCTTCCCAAGCTGTTAACAAAAGCATTTTTAAATGCATTTCTTTCACCCATTACTGTCTTCAAGAAGTAAAAATTAATCCTTGTTAAGCAGTTAAAAAAAGGGCACAAAGCACTTCAAATTATTGGACATAGTTCTGGGGTTTTTTTCTTTCCATGAATAGAAAGCTGTAGCAGACTAAATTCTGTTTTCTGCTAGAAAATTAATTAAATGATGGATCAAAAGAACATATTCCTCAAAATTACAAATTAAAATTACAAAGCTGAAATGAAATGTGATTGTATGTGAAAGCCATGATCTTCAGACAGAACATAATATATCAATTTATTTTTCAAACACATCTTCAAATAAATAAAGTAAAAAATACACAATTCTTTTTAATTTTCATGAGGCTAAAACTCGGTCTTGCATATTGGCAGGATATTATGTGATAAAGACATTGGTTTGGATTTTCTCTCTGTACAATCAACTTTCTGGATTTAGTGAGGAGTTTGGAGAAGTAATGCAACTGTTCCAGCTTTTTCTGAAGGCTTTTTTTGGATCAGCTACAACAAAGGTGTGGAAGAACAGAAAACACACCTTTACTCTTTCTATTCTTCTCCTGGTTTGTACTTTGCCTCTCTGGTTTTCATCATATACATCCTACTCACTGCCTTCTGTATTTCATGCTCATGAGCTGATGAGTATGTACTCCTATTTTTGCTATGCACACTGTTTGCCACAAAGAGTCCCATTATCATCAGGTTATTTGCAGTATACTTTTGATTCTCTCTTTTCTTACCATGAAAATTGCCTCAGGTTCATGTTCAATCTTTGCTGGTTTTGACTACTGGTGGTGCTGCTGCCTCAGGTTAGATATGGCCAAGTCCTGGGTATCCAGGTCCCTGAAATGCAGTGCAGAATTTTCAGTGTTAAATGCTGCTGTGGAAAGCTGCTCCCATCCCTTGGCCCTTCCACTAATGACTGCAACCTTCTGCTGTCACTCTTGATCTGTTTTTTCCCCGCCATTCCTTCATCTTTCTCAAGGAATAATCAGTATATAATCCCATTGGACCCTGTAAGCATGAGATGATAAAATGGGGAACCTATTTTCCTATTAAGACCATGGTCTACAATTGTCGTAAAAGAAGTTAATGTTCTTTTTCCAAAAAATGTTCATTGCAATACTCATTGCACTACACTCGGTACTTGTTCGCTAAATTCGAAGTTTTGCAACCTCAGTAGCTAAAAGACCAAATATTTATTTGTTCTTTCAGGGAAGCATCTTCCTGTTGGCTGTGAAAATCTTACATTTGAGGCATTTTTAATTGATTTAAGTGCTTTATACATCTGTTACAGTGGCTTTAAAAACTTTCAAGCCTTTGGAACCATTCCCATGAAACATCATAGCCTGGAACATTAATTTATCTGCCATTCAGAAAACCTTTAAATTTTGTTTTAGCAATCTTTGAAGTTTTGATAAACCTGATAACTGAAGTTTGGGAGCATAAGTGTTCCCTTGGTCTTCTCCTGAGAGCATTATGAATAAACAGTCTTCAAATAAGTAAATGTATTCATTAATTTTATTAATGTATCTCTTTCTCTGAATAGAGTTTTTTCTCTTGAAAATGCTTGGCAAACTTTGAAGTTTCCTGTCATCCTAATATTTAAGAGCATTCAGAGTACTGTTAGCTTTTGTGAAAGTATTCTCCCCAGGTCTTCTTATTGGCCTCAAATCAGCCATTTCCCTCTTGTAAATACTTACACAATGAATAAATGCACATATAACACATTTGCGTTTCAAAATTAGCATTTTTTGAGATCATGGTTTTAATTCTTGTTCTCAATCATCTATTCCCATAAATGGAACTCCAGAATGTAAATTAGAGCACATATATTTTATGTGGCTCTCTTAATGTTTACATGACTGCCACTATCTTCCTTTCTTTGTGTTGCTCTGTTAGGATGGCAAAGGGATGGCAAAATGATAGCTGGGAAATAAGGGGTGTTTTGCAATTCAGCTGTGCAGAAAATGAATGCAAGAAGTTAAAAATAGAATTCATTTATCAAAAAAAATCACTTGGTATAAAAATAATAATAAATATTTATTATTATGCTCATTGTTAACAGCAGACTAAGACTTTGTTTTGTTAATTTATATAGAAGAAATATATAAAGGGCTGGTTTGTAAAAAGTGTTTGTCAATTCTTTCCCAGAAAAGGAATGATTGAGAGACTCTTCTGTGAGGTATGAGAGAAAGATTTTCAGTAATTTAAATAGTAAAGTGCAGACTGGGATAACCAGGAATAATATAGCAAGTTTTCATTTTGCATATCCTATGTAATATGACCAAGTGCTTTAATAATCATCTAACTGTGGGCAAAATGACAAGACCTTGTCTTTCTTATTTTCAGGTTACATTATTTGCCATCTTGGAATGTTCTTCCCCTTGGAATAAGCTGAGCAAGAACTTGTTTTGGAGAGCTTGTTCTTCTGGGAGCAGCTTTTAGAGGTTATTTGCATATGGGAAGGCTTCTCATTGAAATTTAACTTTTTGAGACTAAATACACCATTAAAAAAAAACCTAAAAAGTTAATTGACTAAGAAATAATACTTATGAAAGGAAACAGCTCCATGTGTTCCAGAATATATCCTTCTTTATACTTTCTTCTGGTGTTTAATCTTTCTGAGAGGTTTGGTTTAGGGATGGTGTTCCCAGTTCAGTGTTCTGACTGAAACATTCCAAACCGTGTGCCATTCACTCATTACTCCCTCACTCTCCTCCGGAGTCAGCTGGAAAGAAGATTTGAAGACAAAAAAGACAGAAATTATGGGATGAGATAAGAACCATTTACTGGAAACAGCAGTGAAACAAAAATGAAGCAGTAACAGCAACAATATTTGTAAAGGGTGTAGAAGAAAAGTAAAGCAAATATTCTGTCACTTAATCAGAATTCTGTATTTGTTCAAGGTTGTACTTCCAAACCATTGGTGAGAATAGACATTCAAAAGTTGGCCTGTTTTCTCCCACCTTTCACACCACTCATGGCTGTCCACCCTCAGGGCAGATCTCTGAATTGCCTTTCTGAAAATCTCTGTCTGGAATCTAAACATGGAGTTGACTGTACTGACTCTAAACCTGGTCCAGACCATATTGAGAATATGTAGCACACATAGCAACTACAGTGTGCTTTCCTTAACATCCAAAGGGAATTTGGAATTCTCAAAGGTTGCTGTAACAGGTCTGAAGGAGAAAAATGATGAGAAAGCTGGAAAATCATCCTCCCTTGTTCTCTCCATAGGCTGGGTATGGTTATTAATAGATGCCAAAAGGTAGCACCCAAAGGTAGGGGAGGAGAGCAACACTGAATACACATCCCAAATGATCCTCACTGGCCTGGATGTTTTCATGTCATAAGGTTCTCATGTCATAAGCTGATATGAAATAGTACAGCAACATAGCAATCCTGGTCCCTCTCCCTGTTCCGAAAAATAGCACAGTTTTGGTCCAATGCTGCATATATGGAAACAAAAATGGGGTTGTGTACCACAACCCCTTGAACAGTCCAAGCTTTGTGACCAGTGCCTTTGGTCTTAACAAAACAAATGCTTAGATCAAATATTTTCCAGTCCTTTCACTGGGCAAACCTGTTGTTATCTTAACACTTTGCGCCTGACATTGGGTGCCAAATAAGGCTGTTGTGGATTAGGAATGGTGTCCCCAGTTTAGTGTTCTCACTAAAACACTTCATACCATGTGGAGTTTACTCAATCCCCCCTCTCCATCCTTTTCCCCCTGTGGCGAGATGGAGAGGGCAACTGAAGGTACAAAAGATAAAGGTCATGGGTTGAGATAAGAACAATTTACTGAAAACGGCAATGAAATAAGAAACAAATCGTAACAGCAGCAATATCAATGAAAGTGTGTACAGAAAAGAAAACAATTCACACAGAAAAAAAGCTGACTACGTGAGAACCTGAAATTTCTTTAACCACTGACCCAAAGAGAGTAAAGACATGAGGTGACATAGAATAACTTCTGGCCTGGCCATGCCTGCTCCTGGCTACTGCAAAAATTTACCATCTTGTCTGGAAGCAGGACATTTTATATTACTGTCAAATAGTTTCACAAATCTGCTAGAGTACAGAATAATAATCACAAGTAAAAGATGGAATTGTAGAAATACTCTTTTTTAGAAGACTTCCATTCCAAAGCTTCTTGCCACATATTGTGTTTTGAATCTTCAAAACAGTCAAAGGATTTACACATTAAAGTCCTCCTGGAAATGTCTTTGAAAGTCCTCCCTAGGAGAACAGCTATGGTGTACCTGCAAGCTGAGCAAATTCAGAATAACACCATCTGTGTAGCAACTCTCATTCTGCATAGGAGTTAGTCCCATAATGTCACCTTTCTTTGCTCATTAACCTGATTGTCCTCATTCCACACTTTACCTTCTCCTGTGTATTCTCCATCTACACAGGGAAAACTTGGATGCTACTGATTGCATCAGGTTGTTTTTTTACCCTTTTTTTTTTTTTTTTATTTTTATTTTTTTTTTTTTTTTTTTTTTTTTTTTTTTTTGATCATTAAAAATCCATTTAATAAGAATAAAGCTATTTACTAACTCTTAATGAAGTGATATTACTTGTTTAATTGTAATATCTTGCTACCAGTTCTTCACATAAAGCTGAATGTTACATGAATGTGGTGGAGCACAGGTGATAGTGTACAAACTGACCAAATAAAGGCAAATAAGAGGTTTCACAGGGATTCTTAAAACCACAGAACACTACAGAGTAATAAGTAGAACAAAAAGAGACAAAAGAATCAATATGAGTCAAACTCTTTTGGGAAAGGTGATTAAAAATGTTTTACAGCTGTGATCTACCATCACTCTAGAGAACTCTGTACTGTTAATAAAATAAGGGCAAAATTTTTGAAAGACTTTACACGAGATCTTATTTTTCCAGATATAAATTAAGAATAAATGCTATAGATGAGAACAATTCCTTTCCCCTGTTAGCCTGCTTAGATATGCCTCATTGTCTATTCATTTTATTTCATGTTATTTTATTTTGTTTTATTTTATTTTATTTCCAAAATTTTGCATCTAGAAAAGACCTGCAGTCTTGCAGAGAATGGATGGTTATGGACATAAGAGTGGTGTTCTTTCAGAGACTATCTTTTAGGCATATATTCTGAGATTTACGTTTAAAATGCAATCCAGCAGCCAGTAAATGTATGTAGGAACTCTTTTGTAAGACACAGGGTGAAATCCTGCTTCTCTTAATCATCAGGTAGAACCCTTCCAAACTAAAGGTCCTGACTATTAATTCTGCTTTTAAATGGAAAACTTGGCGGGCAGAAGATTTCACCACTTAAAAGAACAAGGTATACTGATATCAGTCATCTTGGAATTCAGTTGGCTTTCTTGCTGCAAAGGTTGTACTAAATATAGAAATGATTTTGAGCTGAGGATGAAAACCTAAAAAATCTGCAGAATACTGTAGTCTAGGAAAGGCTTTTTGCTTGTGAAACTTCTCACATATTAGAAATGAAATAGATGCTTAATTAAGGAGAAATTCCACTGATTTACAGGAATCTTTGTTAGACCAAAATCTTGTGATTTAGGAGAACAATGGTTGCCAGATTTGGTTGATTTGTACTGTGAGTCAGAAAGAACAAAAAAGAAAATTATTCCTTTTTTTCCTACAGTCATTCTCACACAAGCTTTCCCTCCCAGCTAAAGAGCATTAGCTCAAGAAGCAGAGAAAGAAAAGGAAAGCAAGCATTCATCTAAAACAAATTTCATTATGTTTTTTGGCCAAAAAAGAGGTTAATATTTTTGGCAACTTGCATTTTTCCCTCTGCAGCTGGAATTCAGCAGCTCATAGCTGTCTGCCAAAGCAGATGCATAATCTAGGCCACTGCCTCACAACAGCTTTTGTGAGTGTTGTTAAAAGAGGCACTTTCTAGATAAATACTGCGAGAATCTTAAAATTAGAGAGTTTGAATAAAAATGACAGAATTCACTTGTCCGAGTTGGAGCAGAAACAGCTGGTTGCAGAATTTAGGTATGGAGATAGTTTTATCATTTGTAATAAATACATATTATTATTTCCTCACTAACGACCCATAAAATAAAGATCAGCCTGGTAGTTCTAATTCTGAGGATGATCTATTGATGAAATCAAGTATTTTTTACAATATTCTATTAATATGAATGTAATCATCATGTGATCTTGAATATGAGAAAAATTAAATAACCATAAAGTTTTCTTGCTCATATTCCTAAATCTTTTTCTGTCAGAATATTGATTTTATAAATTTATTTTTAAATAGATTTATAGTGTAGACATTATACTTTCTTTGATTTTCTATTTGTTTCCCTCTCTTTTTCTCTCTGTCTTCATACACACATATGCATGCATATATCTATCTATTCAAGAAAATACTGAGAAATGTCCTGGTTTTGAACTGGTTGGAAATGAATGCTTTGTATTGAGGATTTGGGACTGCCATTTACACAGATGTCTCCTTTAAAAGCACACTAATTCTGGTAAACCAAAACCATTAAATTCATCAGTTTCAGTAATGTTCTATCCAAATCCAGTCATTTTATGGAGTTGATCAAAATCTCCTTCAAATCAGGAAAATTTTTTGAACTTGTAACCTGTTACACACAATTAAAACAGTCCTGCATTTTGTTCTCCACCTCTGGAAACCATCTTTTCTTAAAGTAGGAGCAGCTTTAGAGAAGGTGATTCAGGGCAAGATTTCATAGCCTCTCTGGGAAACCCATTCCAGAGTTTGCACTCACTCTGGTGTTGCTCTTTCTATTACCTATTGAGAGTTTCCCGTGCTGTAACTTGGGATTTGTCCTTTCATGCCCGTCTTCCAAGAATAGTCTGGCTCCTTTGTTTTCTGCACACTCTCATTAGATGTTGAAAGAATAAGAACCCCATTCACAACACAGTTCTCTCAACCTCCTCTCATATGTCATGTACTCCAGTCTTTAATCATCACTTTGGTTCTCAGCTGAATTTACTCCAATTAGTCAAGGTCTTTTTGGCAGCAGTTTAGTATTGGAAAGCCCATGATGAAGAAAGCCCCTGAGGGTAGGCGTCACAAGTATTTTTTCTTGCTCTTCCACAAGCCAACCATTCTTCTTTGTATTCCAGCTTATGGGATGTATTTTTAAATAGAAATATTTCAGATCCAGAAGTACTCTGCCCTCTGCATAGTGCAGTTCCCAAGCTGATACTTTTTCCTGGCACCAAAACAGATAAAGATGTTGATACAGAGAGGTCCAACTAGTGCCTTATTAGTCTCAGTGTCTGCAAAACAGTGAAGTTGGTTAGAGCTTCCTAATTAGAGCTGGTTTCTTATGGAGTAGCTTTTTTTCTTTTTTTTTTTTTTTTTTTTTTTTTTTTTTTTTTTTTTTTTTTTTTTTTTTTTTTTTCTATTAATTCCCAGGCTTCTGAAGAAATGGTTACAGAAGCTGCATGAGCTGACCAGTCATGTCAAACTTCACTCATTCTCCATCAGGTCAGTTCAGGTGCATTTATACCACAAAAGGTGGATCTCTGAATTCTGCACTGTCCAATAGTCATTTTCTGTAAATACATGGACACACATACTGTGTATCAATCCATCCATCTCTCTATATAGTACACCTAATCTAGATGCAAAAATTCACTAACACAAAAAACTCCCAATCTAAACCACAGAATTACTTCTTCGTGGCCATTAATGGTGAAATAAGCAGGACATTAGATGTGAATTAAACATG